TTTTTTTTTTATATTTGAATATATTGGTTTAAATGGTGATGATGTTGTTGTTGGTAAATTATTATTTGATGCTAATCTTTGAGCAATAGATAATTTTCGTTCAGGTTTTTTTAATGATAAATTAGGATAATATTTTCGATTTTGTTGTTGTTGTTGTTGTTGATGATGATGATGATGACGGTAACGTTTATCACTTAATGTATCAACTGAACTTGAACGAGATATAATTGTACTAAGTAGAATACTTGAATTACTATCATTATCATCTTTTGATTTTTTTACTTCATTATAATATGGTCGATCAACATAATAAATTTTTCCTGTTGGCATTAATTCATATTGTAATAAACGACGTTGTTTTTTTGGTGTAACAAGACGTCGTTGTCGTTTGATTATATTTGGATTTGAACGTGAAGAAAATGTATATTTTTCATTTGAATTTTCATCTTTAATTTTTGTTGGTTTTGTACGAATTTGATTAAGTGGTTGATTTGATGTTGTTACTGGTGTTGGTATTGCAAGATTATTAGCAAGAGTTGATGTTGAATTTATTACTGTTTCATTATCAAGTGATGTTGTTGATACTGATGTTGTAGAAGAATCTCGAGTTGTTATATCTTCTAAAGTTGATGTAGCTAAAATAAATAAATAAATAGGAAAAAATATAAATAAGGAAATTGAATAAAAATAATATCAAGGGATATTAATAAAAAGATAAATACAACAGACAATATTTATATAATACCATTCCCTGAACTTATTGTACGATCATCACTTGAATCATCAATATAAGCAAAATTTGTATCACTAATTGGTTTTATTGGTCGAAGAAGATGAGGACTAGATGGAGATTTGGTTACTAGATCTGTTGTTGTTGTTGTTGTTGGAGGTAGTGGTGGTGGTAAAGGAGTTTTTTCATTAGTACTACTATTAGGAACAATAACAGTTTTAGTATTATCAGTTGTTGGTACTAATATAAGTTCATAATTTTTATTATTAATAGGTAATTTATCAAAATTATTATTATTAGTAATTGTTATCGTTTCGGATATAGTTATAGACAAACCTTTATCAAGTGTTTTATATGTAACAGTTGTAAATGATGTTTGTGTTGATTGTTCTTGTCCATTTATTAAATTTTGTTCATTCATTATAATTTTTTCTGATTTAATTGAATCATCATCATCATCATCATCATCATCATCGTCATCGTCATCATCATCGTCATCATCATCAATATTATCTATTTGAGTTGTATTTGTATTATTATTTATATTAAATGCAGTTCTATTAAATGTTATAGATAAAATTGTTCCACCAAATAATTCTTGATTAACTAATGTATAATTAAGAAATAAATTCAAACGTGTTACATTGCGTCGACGTGTAAATCCAAGAACAAAATCTGCAATAATACTTCCATTACGGAAAGCAATTACACTACAAGTTGAATAAGATCTAGCATATTTTGTTTTATTATCAACTAGTGTTCTTCGAACCTAAAAAAGCAAAACATATATATATATATATATATATACTGATAAGAAAAAGAAAAGCCTATAGCCAAGAAAAACGACGACTTGTTTAAGAGAAGAGGAAACTAGTCGAAACATGCACACGCTCGATCTAATTTAATTTTGTTACTTGTTGCATGCACACTCTATCTCGATAGTTGTAGATAGCAATCAAATTGGCTATACACTGGAATAAATAATCGAGAACCAACCGAACGATCGATCGATTGATGAATATGAACGAACGATAAACAAGTGAGAAAAAAGAAGGAGAAAAAAAAAGAAGAAGCAGAGTTTCTTCTTTTCTCTCTCTCTCTCTCTCTCTCTCTCTTTTCCGATCTTATTGTAATAATCCTAATCTATCTTGTCTCGATTTTGTTTTTTTGGTTTAACAGTAACTCGACCGTAATCAAGCGTAAATGATATATTCAACAAGAATAGTCAATCAATGAAAATGAATAAAAAATTGACTAAACGATATCATGGGAATTAAATGTGAAACGATTTTTTTTTTCTTTCTTTCTTTATATAATATGCATTAAGACATAATATTTCAAGTACCTTTTTTTATTATTAACTTAAGACTTAATAAAGAATTTCGATTATTATTGTATAAAAACATTATTTCTTTTCCATATATATATATATATATATAGATATATGAGTGAAGAGCATAGCCATACTACTATATTCAGAGAGAAAAAAAATCGATAAAAGTAAATTTAATAATAAAAGAAAACTAAGTGTTGTATTTGATAGAGCAATGTCGAATGTGTATGAAAATAATATTATTTACTCAACACTTCCCTGTGTCAACATGCATATCACTTATTTTGATGAAATTCATAAGAGACTTCGGCGAATTATGAATGATAACAATCGAGAAGTACATTCATTCATGAAAAGTCTTATCTAGTTAATGATAGATATATTTTTAGGACATAATAGAAATACGAAAATAATGATATTGTTAAACAGTTTTTTTATATAAAGTCGATTTCTGTATGCTATTTCTATATATCAATTAGTGTTAGTATATGATTACTTCAAAAAACAAATATTGCTGTACGCTTTGTTAGTAAAATTGAATTTTTTTTTGTATTAACCAATTTTATGAAACAAACTTCTTTTACTTCTCATATTATTTTCCTTTCATATAGAATTAAATTTGTACAAATGAAGTTTCTTCAACCAAAATACCAATGATTTTAATGTCATTCTATACAAAAATGAGAAATATCTTAGCATCTATTATATTATTGATAGTTTTTCATTTATAAAACTTCATCTAAAGCTAAAACTAAAAACATATTCTGAAAGCCCTTGACAATTTCTACAACTCTAACGGCAAAAATAATTTTATAAAAACCGCAATGGAATTAAAAAAAAAATTGTCTTCTTTCGACAGGGGACGTTAGAAGTTAGGTATTTGACATTATTACTATGGTTTCTCGGCAACTAGAACAGATCGAAATGTGACTTGTTTAAAAGTAAATAACCATCTTTTGACCAGTATAAAAAAAAAACATTATCAAAATCGATTGAATAGAACTCGACTTATAGACATTTTGTCTTGTCGAAGCAAAGCAATATAATGACTTTACGCTTCATTCATATATGTATGTAATAAAAACAATTCGATCAAAAATTCAAAAAAATAAAAATAAAGAAGAAGAAGAGCTATTGTACTTACTAATGTACAAAATTCTTTTTTATAATTTCTTGCCAATGTTGATGTTGGATCTAAAAGTAATGGATCAAAATTTGCACGAACATAAATACTTCCTTCATAATAATTAGATGTTATTTGATTAGATTTTCCAACTATAAACAAGGTATAAATTGATTATTAATTAATTGTTTAGAATATTATTTTTTTTTGCTTACTTAATGTTACAGCAAGAACAACAGTAACTATAATAGCAACAATAACAACAGCAACGGATGAACTAAATATTATTCGACGACGTGATGTCAGCCATGGAGATGTCACAGTACTTGGTACATCTTGTTCATTTTCACTACGACCTGGTCGACGATATGAACCTAATGATTGTGGTATTTGTCCATCTTGTAATTCAAGTGTTGATATAGCTGTTTGATAATATTGACGTGATAATGGTGGTGATGAATGAACTGTTCGATCAGCAATACGTTTCCATTGTTCTAATTAAATTTAAAATTTTTTTTTCTTTTTATTCAAAATGAATTATTACCTGTATTTTGAAGACCGGGCATTTCATTAAGATGTACATCAGCTAGAGTTGTTTCAGGTAGAAAATCATCGAACATGTTAAGTTCTTGTCGAACTATACGTGGATTTCTCTACATAATATGAGGTTTTTTTTTTTGGTTTTTTTATTTGCATCTTTTAAAAAAAAAACAATATTTACTCGATGAAGTTTATCTTCCGGTATAGGTGGTAAACGTCTTCGTGATATTGATTGTCGTTCATCGTCAAATGAAGCTGCAACATTTTCTTTTGCTGCCATAATAGAATTTTGATCGATTTGTAAATTATTAAGGATATCATTACCATGGGGAAGACGTTCACTTAAACAACATTAGTAAAATACAAAGAATCAACAACAATAATAATTAAATAAACTATTCTTCCTGCATAATTTCTTTTTTTAATAATGAAGAAGGATCTATCATAGACGATTGTATTGACCACAACATAGTTAATTATATAAATTTCTTTCTCATAACTTAATAATAAACCTTTTATATGATATATTTGTATGTGTGTATATTCAGTCACTCATATATATATATATCTACATATGATAAACTTATGTCAACTTTTGTTTCGTTCTTTATTTTAATAGTGATTTTTTTCTTAGGATTAGTTCTTAACATTTTCAAGGAAAGACAAAAAAGAATGTCTAAATAACAAATGAATCAACTTACGAATGATGACGATCATTATTCAAAATTTCTTGTCTTTTCCATTGTAATGGTGGTGTAGAACGATTATCATGATTTCCTTCATCACTACTACAACTACTAAGAACAATTGATGAACACGTACTTCTACTTGAATTTCTATCAAATCGAATATATGCTATATTTCTATCATGATCAATATTTAATTTTATACCAGTATCACTGATTTCATTCATTTTTCAAATATTGCAATTTTATTTTTCAAATATGAAATTGAAAAATATATGTGCAAACAAGACATGCATTTACTTTTGATTTCTTTTTTCTTTCTTTCTTTCTTTTTTTGTTAATCATTATTCTAC